TTTTGTTATGAAATCAAGCAAATAGAAAAGATAAGAAATTATCATTATTATAAAGCACATTGATCCCTAATCCATTCTCCCTATACTTTGTTAGCAATAGGACCATTCAGAAAGGCATGATTTAAAGTTTCAATCTGAGAGTAACATTGACATCTAGAAGCCAAGTAAATGCTTTCCTTCACTAACCTACTATTAATAGAAATGAAGTCTATTAAAATTCTCCAAGAAATAATAGAAGTAGGGGTGGAATTATTCCAAATTTTGTTAGTAGGGTAGAATGATTCCAAATTTTGTCAAAATTAATATTAGCATCCTTTTTAATTCTAAAAATATTCCAAGTCTTCTTAAAATTAAAATCACAATCTCGCGACAACTTGAAAATAAGAATATCATTAAGAGAGGGATCAGATCTATATATTGGAATTTACGAAATAATATCAATAACATTCTAAGGAATATAATTCAATAACAAGTTGATACACCACTTGCCATTTAAAATAAAATAAAAAGCCTTCAAAGAGAAGGTAGAATGAATATTGAAAAACGAGACAAGTGACCCAATTCCAATCCAGTCATCCTACCAGAAATGGGTTGATCCATTTCTAAGTCCCCATTGGAGGGTAGATTCAACAAACCATTTAATCTTACACAGTTTGTTCCAAATACAAGATTGACCTTTTTAAAAGGAAAATAAAATAGGATGCATGTTATGACAATATTTAGCATTCATGAACTTAGCCCAAAAGAAATCACTAGTTAATAATTTCCACCAAAGTTTGTAAGAGAAACCTTTAACCATATCAGTTATAGATTTGCACCCCAATCCCACTTCCTTAAAAGGACTTGCACAAGAGGCCCAATTATCTCGTGATTTTTTTTGTTGGAAAGACAATTTCTTTGTGATGACTTCTGTGATGGAATGTTTATAGCAAGTTAATTGAAAATTCTAATTGTGGTGGAATTTTAAGAATTTTCGTCTCTACTTCAATTTTATTTTATGGCTTATGCGATAGAAATTTCGCATTAACTCAATAAGATATCATATTTATGAAAAAAAAAATTGTTGCTAATCCATTCATAACCGTCAACATTTAAGAAAAAATATATATTAAAAATAAGAATTTAGCAATTCTAACAAACTTATAATACATAAGCAACAATACTATGCAATAAATTATATCATATGGAATACAATTTTCAGAATTTTCCCATAAGATTAATTAAGGTTGCAAACGAACCGAGCCGACCCGAGTATGTGCTTGTTCATGTTTGACTTCGTTTATTATCAGCTTGTTTACGATCAAGTTCGGTTCGAGTTTGATTCGAGTTTTTTTTGGTGTTCAAGCTTATTGATTCGTTTAAATTAATTGGTGTTCATGTTTGGTTCATGTTCGATTCATTTCATGATTATCTAGACAAACAAGCCATATTGAGCTATAAATAAGCTCTACTTCTAGATGTACATTAACGTCTTAACAAGAGAGTCTTATCGAGCTTCTAACAAATAATTAAATCGAGCATGCATGTTCGTGAATATATATATATCAAAGTTTATTAAACTATCAAACAAGCTCGTTTGCGGACATATCTAATGAGTATTATCGAGCTATCAAATGAGCTTGTTCATGAACATATCTAATTAGTATTTTCAAGTTACCAAATTAATGAACTCGTTCACGAACAAACGATCTATGATTAATCTTATATTTATTCAAAGAGCTAGCGGGTTGTTCGTAATTTTAGACAGATGCGGGAAGCAAAAATAAATTATTATATAATTTTAGTCAGGATTAGTAAAAATAAATTATTAAATTTAATAATATTTTTAAAAACTCTAATATAGTTCTAATCGAGGTTCTTAACGAGCTTGTTCACGAGCGTTAAATGATATTGTTCATAAACATAAACAAACCGAATGTCAAGTTGTTTAAGTTCATTTATTTAACTATTGAGTATTTATCAAAAGTGTTCAAGCTATTTTGTGTACCTTACCAAATGAACATGAACAAGCTCTTATCGAGCCGAGCCACGATTGAGTAACTCGTCGAACGCTCAGTTCATTCGCAACCCTACATAAAATCATATAACACAAACAACTAATTATGAAATTCATATCGCATGTAAGACAAACAAAGAAACAATTCATAACTGCTATATGAAGATGAATGACATTACTACAATGCATAACATTAATAGATACACAATTGACATAATATACAAAATCTTATAATAATCTCGATATAGTTTTAAATCAATTTATGAAATCACACTCCCTCCATCTAAGTAAACAATACTAGAGAGTCATACTTATTTCATTAAAATCTAAATCTGAGAAAAATGGTTATTCTTCTCTATCAGCAGAAATGCCATTACCTTCTTCAACCATTCATGTGAAACAACATCCTATAATATAATAGGTTTACCAAAGAAAAAGCTTTAATACTAAAACTGTTTCCATCTTTTATTATTATTGTGGTATTAGAATACAAAAACTGGTAAGATAAACTGGAAGCAGCAACCACCAATCCATCATATCTGTATGTTGTATGTGGCACACTTGACGACCAGACAAAAATACAAAGGTTGAAACCAATGGCTAGCAATATGAAAGAGACTAGATTTTCCACTCCATATTAATAGAAGCTTTCCGAATACTACAAATGGATCCTATTGGAATTGACAACTACCTTCCCCGACAAGAGGAAAGGTCTGCCCTCTCTCTCTCTCTCTCTCTCTCTCTCTCTCTCTCTCGATCTACAAAGATAACAAACACCACAAACGACCATTTCAGAAGAGAATCTTATAACTATGGAGTTATATATTATATATATAATACTGTAATATTGATGCATGCATAGTATTGCTTGTGCCACATATTCATAAGATACAATAAAATAATATAATTTGAAATTATTATTATTATTAATTATGTACCAGATGTTGATACAATTCCTTAAATGATATGAAATGAACCTAATCATTCATTATAATATCATGTACATAGATTTTTTTTAAATAAACAAGATTTAATGATGATCAATATAATTTAATATATGTAATATTTTATTTTTGCTTTTTAATTAATTGAATACATGTATTGATCATCAATATTAATATTTCTTATATTTTAATAAAAATCATTAACATTTAAATTATTTAATATAATTTTAATTAAAATCCTATCATTTGGTGACTCCTGCTAAGTCATGATATATTAGAATAAAAATTAAATTTCAAATCATATCATTTAAAGAATCATATCTGCTTAAAAAAAATATCACCTTGAATCTTATTAAGATGCGACACAAGTAATTATTAGTTACTTTTTTAGGTCATATACATTACTTCAGACATATAATTTAACTATATATAGAGAAATAGTGAGAGAAAGAGATCCCTCCACATTTATTGCATGCACAGTAACATGGGCTGTTTGTAGTGTTTGCTATATCTGTCGAGAGAGAGAGAGAGAGAGAGCAATGGAACAAGAACCTTAAGACATGTGAGCCTATTAAGTGGTCGTGCTGAATTTGAACTGGATGAGAGAAGTTAGGTTTGTTTTGTTTATTGGGTTGAAGTCAGGTGTGTCTTGGTGATCTGCTGGCTTTACACAGCTCATCTTGGCGTGTTGGTTGAGAGCTTATGCTTCCAACTAAGAGGTCCAAGGTTCGAGTCTTTGTGTATGCGTTGTGTGTGTTTGCCTTAAATGGCCTAAATGTCCCAAAAAAAAAAAAAATCTGCTGGCTTTTGAAGGAAAGTGAAAGATCTAGCTTATGATGCCATCATTCAGCTAAATTCTCTTATTTATATTTCTGTTGATATTCCCTCTAATGATTCAGAACTTTAGGGCCAAAGTAAATGTTTGAAATATGACCGTTGGTAAGTCAAATTCAAAAATATTTATCATAAATAAGAGATATGTCTTGAAGGACGAAGAAGAGATTAAGACAATTAATGTTTGGGATAAGTTAACTTTTCTCTTTTAGAAACATGCACAATCTGTGTGCATTTTAGAGGACTCTTTCAAGGAAGGTAAGCCACACACGCAAACCCTAAACAAATTAAAAAAAAAAAAAAAATCAATAATTGTGCTGCATTATTACATTTGGCATTCCATAGGTTGAAGAAGTCAAAAGCTTATCTCATTCCCCATGTATTTTATTATCACCAGGTTGGAATATATTTTAATTCTATGACTCTGCACTTGTTTCTGGAATAAAAAAAATCAAAGAATTTCTATTTTACAAGATAATAAGGAAATCAATATTTTTTTGCCCAAGATATTATTGTCTGCAAATAAAGAAGAACTATCATGCCGATCATACCTCATAAAAAATTTGGTCAAAACATCTATAGGCTAAAATTTAAGCTCAAAATAAGCACAGAGATATAATATTTTGAACTTCGCTTAGCATTAATATGTTCCCACTTGGGATAGCATAATGACATTGTAGTAAGGGCCTATTTAGTTGATTGTGGATAGATAATATATTTAAATAATAATAATAATAATAAAGTTTGCTAGATTCGGTTGTTGGTTTGGATGTAATTAGCTATAAATCAACATACGTTCAAAATTCCATAAACCCCGTAAATTTAATTATTCTTTTTTTCTAATAAAAGGCAAGACTGGTTTAAAAAACTTTTTTTCTTAAATTGTTATTTTTTTTTAAGAGGTTGTTTGGTTCAATGAATGTCATAAAATTTTACACTATTTAAAGATATCTTAAAATAACATTTCAAAAATGACAATTTTGTTATTATTTTACTAAATATTTCAAACATGACAATAACATTTCAGCCAAAATCTAAAACCAGAACATCTGAAAAATCATATAAAACTAAATCAAATACATTGAAATTTAATAGAGATATAATACTGACAACTTAATAATACTAATATTTCTATATAAAATAGCTCCTAAAATATGATTTTTTATTTACAAGCAATCAAAAGAGCACCAAGTCTCCTTTAACAAGAGATAAAGGTTGCTTGACTTGGTTCCTCACTGGAGACAGTTTGGATAATGTCATCTGTATCTATAGATTTAAAAGAGGACAGAAGGGGAGGATTCAAAAAGATTTGATTTTGTTTAGGTGGGGAGGGAGAAGAGGACAGGAGGCATCATCAGCCCACCATGGCATATTGATATCTTCATGTTCTAGCAAAGCTGTCTTGGAATATCTTGTCTATATGCTTTCTTAAGCATATGTGGATTTATTAGATTTGTCTATATATCTTTGCTTAATTTTGTTTTTTATCTTCTCTTCCTACCTTACTTCCTCCTTCGTAGAAAACTATTCCTATATGAAAGGTTAAGCCTTGAGTTTCTCCATCTTTTCCTTGCCTCCTCCTTAACAGCCTGTCAAGCTTGCATTTTCCTTATTATTTTCTTTTTTTTTTTGGTGCTCCCCTTGTTTCTTTCTTTCTAAGCAAAAGCTGCTTTCTTATTTGTGGAGAAGAAGGAATCTATCGTTCTTGCTTTGGTTCTTTCGTTTGGATTTAGGATAATGGAACATTGATGAGAAGAGTGAGGAGAAAAGAAAATGGTTGTTGAGCAGAAGAAACGGAGCTCACAGGTGAATGAAATACCTCCTCCATGTTCTCTCTTTTTACCCTCTTTTTCTTGTCGATTTTAAAGTCTTTATATTTGATCAAGTTACTTGATATTAAGTTCTGTGCCGGTTTAGGTCTTCGAGTGAAGCTTATGCAGATCCATCTTTGTTTTCAAATTTGGGAGTTTCTGAATGTTCTGTCTTTCTGTAACAAAACAAATTCATTATAAAGATTGGCCTTGTCGAAACAATTGTTCTTCCTCGGTTGTCTTAGATTGGTTATACTTGTTTTCCCCTTCTTATGATTAATGTGAGGAAACTTATTTTTGAAGATTCGAGAAGAGTTTTTAACTATGAACAGAGAACCTTCACTGCATGTTTCAGATATGTTTTCTAAGTTTATTGTTACAGAACTTTGATATACACGAAAAAATCATTTCTTATTGATCCTCTTATAATGCCTTCATGCGGCCTCACAAAATGTCTCTACAAAGGAAGTTTTCCATATATTTTTTGTAATAAACGAGTCTTCCTGATAAAAATTTCTTCAGTATTCGAAAAGGTATACAGATTTTGCTTCTAGCATCATTTTGTACCCCTATATTTGAAAGGGCATATTGACTGAAGCAAAATTTTCAGTTTTGAAAGTTTTTTGAAACTAATAATCTTCAGATTACAGCAAAGTTTTTATTTTTAAATTCAGTTTCGATTTCATTCTTTGTCACTGAAGTCCTGATCTTAAATCTTGAATTTCTTCAAAAATTTAAATAACTTTTCAAAATATTTTTTTAAATAAGCTTTAGAATCATAAACATAGCATTTTCCATTGATTCTCAGTCTTCCATTTAGGTGGCTTCAGTTTAGTTTGTCTCTTTCGGAGTTTTGATTGCATCAATCTAGTTCCTTCAATTTTGGCAAAAAACCAGAGATTTGGTTAATTAAAAAAAAAAAAACTGCCAACTAATTGTCGAAATTCCCCAGCAGAAGTCGATCCAAAACCTCAGAAACAAGTCGGTTTCAGCATAGGGCCCATTTGGTTGCCTGAACATAGAAATTATGCTGTTAAAAATGATAAATTTATAACATTTATTATGAATTTTGTTGCAGTAAGTAATTAATTTGATGTATCTTCTAACAATCAATTTAACCCTGAAATTGCTGTATTTCCTCCTCTGTTATGAAAACTAAGCTAACTATTCATCTAGTTCTGAATTCTACAAAATATTACAGCTTTGTTTTGAGTGATTTTTTAATTATTTTTGTGGTAGGAAAACAGCCAAAACAAACAGAACAATAGGAAGAAAAAGCTAAAATAAATTTCATGTTTTTATTCTCCTAATTTTCTTTAAATAATACTTTATAGAATTTTTAATAGCAAAATTAAAAAAAAAAAATATATATAAGCCGTTCAAAACGAAGCTAACAGGTAACAGCTATGTCCACCTGAGGAAATTTTCAGCGGTTCATTTCCAGGAAACAACTATAGCTAATACTTTCTAGTTGAGTCATTTTATTTTCAGACCCCACTCCTACATTTTTAAATGCTTAGTTGTTATGATACTGCCAAATGACTTGATGACTTCATCATATCGACCAGAAATATATATATATATATATTTTTTATCAGAACACTTTTTCCATTATAAATACTATTGTCCTATCTTCTTGTTCAGATGCAAGGCTCTTATATGCCATCTTGATGATCTGTAAGTGGAACAGCAAAGAACCCACAGTTTATCAGTAATATTCATACAATTTTTTTCAATCTTATATTTCATTTCATTAGAAAATCTATGAGTTGCAGCAGTAGATTGATAGGAAACACTTATAGATCTCAAGTACTTCCTATCAATCTTCTGAAAACAGCGAGATAAATCCACACAAAACGACGAAAACAGTAGATAATTTGTATTCTTTGATGAAAAGGAAACGGAAAAATACCAAGATACAATTGATCCTCTATTCGAGAGGAGGGTCGATCTCCCAATCTCTAGACAGCGCTAGAGCCCAAAGAAAGCCTAAGGGATCTCAAATTTCAACCAAATTCAAGGTGCTCTAACCCTAGAAAAACAAATTATTTAATGCATACAAATCAAAAGAAAATCCCTAAACAGTCCCTACATTCAAATTTCCCTCCTACTTCCCTCAAAAATCCTTCCTAATCTGCTGTAGGGGATCCGCCGGTTTGGTCGGCAGTACAGAGAGGTGGAAAACGTCCGCCTTTGCTTTGCATGATCCGGTCCATTCTGGACTGGCTGGACCCATCTAACATAGACTTAAGGAAATTACTGATATTTTATATGAAACTGGCATCTGCATTTTAAAGTTGCAGCAGAAAAAATGTAAGGTTAATGTCATTTTCATTAAGCTTTGTTGGCAATTATTGAATTTTCCAAGACCTATCAAGGAAGAACAGAAGTTAGCATCCTTATTTGCGAAGATTCAACTTCTATCAATTGTATAAAGAATTAATTTAAGATTGCTCAACTGCCAATTTCATAAGTTTCTTCTATACTGTTTTACTGAACTCCAAGTGAGTTTCACAATGAAGAACTCTAGCATCAGCATTTCCATTATGTTATTTCCCTATACTCATGAATCAGCATTTCCTTGAAAAGGTTCATATGGAACTCTTTTTTTTTTCATTTTTCTTATAGGCATGGGTTTAAAATTGAAGAAGGCTTGCAATCTCCTCAATACATTGCTGAAGCATAACCATGAAGTGTTTGCTGTAACTCTCAATTCACAAGCTATTCAGAACAAGTTGAACTGCAAATTGAATAGCAAACAAATCTGCTCTGATTTCAGTAACATTCACAAATCAATGGATAGATTTTCGGAAAGATGCAACAGAGAATCCATTAAGAACATAATGCTGAAGCAAGAAGAGATCTTCAAACAGCAGGTGCTAACATCTTCATCCATTTCTATCATTTATAGAACTCTTGTAGACCTTGAGAAAGGAGGGTTTTAAGTCAATTAAGGGCTTCTTTGGTTCAATTTTATCTAAATAGTAGTGTTGATGTTATTCAAAATAATAAAAAAACAAATAATGATTTTTTTGTTGTTAGATGACCTGATACTTAGGAGCTGTTTGTTAGCAGGATTTAGGCCGGATTTGAGCGAAATCCAGCCAAACGGCTAAAATGCAAAACCAAATCTCCAGCAAATGAAAGCCATTGTAGACGTAAAATTGCTCCTTTTCGTGCTAAATCCTGGATTTTTGAAATCCTATTTTTTTGCCTGATTTATGAAATATGACGGCTAAAGAAGAAGAGTCTTCTCATTAAATCTATTTTATAGCCAAACAGTCACACAATATTTAATAAGATTTATCATAAATGTTACCAAAAAGTTTTCAAGATTTAGGCCCCTCAGGATTTCCGAAATCTGGATTTAGCATATTTATGAAATCCTACTTAAATCAAACCCTGGGTGCTACCAAACAACCCCTTAGATATCACTTGATTTGAGTAACATCCAAATGTCACCAGAAAAAGTACTCAAAACACCATTAGAGAATTCATTATTTAAAGATATGTCTTTATATGATAATAACAATAGCAAAAAAACTTTTGAATCATTCCTAGACTTTTTATATGTACAGTATAGTTTATTGACTCTTTAAATATGATAAAAAATAATTTCTTTATTGAATTATTTTGAATAAGATTTGAGAATTCACTGAACTATTTTGAATTAGATTTGAGTAGTCAAGTGACTAATTTGATACATTACATAATCTAGAACTAAGATGACCTCTCTTAAATTGCCTAGGAACTATTTTTGCATTTATCACAATGATGATATAACATTACATAACAAATATAAGCAAAACAAACGGAGCCCCTAAATCGTTGCATGATTGTTCCACTGAACTTATTTTTATGAGTTGTATTGTAATTTGCAGGTCCGCGAGCTCCATCGATTATATAAGATTCAAAAAACGCTAATGACTCGGCAGAGGTGTGAAAAGGTGAAGATGAACTCATCTGTGGTAACTTCCAACCCCCAAATTGTAACAGACGCCATGAACAAACTCAAGAGCAGTAGAACTTCCTCAGAAACTACCCATTCTTCTCATGTCAGTGTCAGAAATAACTCTAATGCTGTTCTAAATTCTGAACACACCTTAGTACATCAATCTGCTGCAATGGCAGCCGGCCATACCTCCCGGGACCTCATCAACTTCTCAGAACCTTTGAGAACATCAAAGGAGTATCTTCTTCAAAATCCAGTTGAAGGAGAAAGCCCGGAATCATGCTCAAATGAAGAATGCAATCTTGATCTAACATTAAGCATTGGTTGTGCATCAGATAAGATGAAAAGTGCAGATTGGAAGGAAATGACAACGAGATCAACACAGTTGCTCGCTTCTAATTTGAATAGGGAAGCGAGCGAGCAGGAATTCACAAATTCTTCAAATGGATTTGGTGCAGAGAGCTTGAAGAGGCCTCGTTGGCTCTTCCAAGCATTGAGTTTGAACAGAACGTGAATAATGCTTCAACTCTTTCACAGCTTATGTGGATTTGCCTTAGAAGGGGCAGTTCTTACAGCACTTACTAGCTGTTATTGTGGCATGAACTATACAAGATTGAAATGATATGCTATCTGCATTTTGGTAGCCAAATATCATTGTAAGACTATTCTGCGAGAGGCTCTTCATTGATTCAGTAAGAGATTGGTTTGTCATTGAGGGGATTTGTCGACACCAGCCTTTTTTTTTTCTTTCTTTCTTCTTCTTTATGTAGGCTTCCCAGTACAGCAAAATCAGCAGCAACTGCGAATCAGTATTAATAAAGGAGGACTTCACTCATTTTCTAACTTTGGAGTTTTGACATGGAAAAGTAAACAATTTATCTTTCTTTTACGTTCATTTTAAGTACTCCAAATTTGTTTTTCGTTAAATAGAGATGTCAAGCATTAGAATCAAATCTAGCTCGTTGGATTACAACGAACAAAACCGATATTTTGAAGAATGCATTAAAAAAAGAGGGAATATTTTTCTATTGATAGATCACATCTAGATTCTAGTTAGGCTTTAAGATGTGGCTCGCTGGAAAGATAGCGAACAATGGGCTTCATCCAGCTTAACAATGTGAGATTTTCATAGGCCCTACTACATTGATTCTCAAAATGTTAGGGAAGTGAAACATGCAACGAAACAAACAAAAAATGAAAAATGCAGTAGAAATGAAAAAAAAAAAACATCAAGATTTAATGAGGAAAATTCTAAAACTAGGAAAAAAATTACGGAGCCACAGCACACCAAGAAATTCATTATAAAAATTTGAGAGAAAATAGTACAATTTTCTCTTCTCTCTCACCATCTCCTTGCTTCTTTTCACCCGTGCACCATTCTCACACTAGAACATACGAAGAAAAATATAACTACAACCACCAAGGGACGCCACTCTTAATAAAAAAATGAGTAAGAGAAATGTCAACCCATTTCGCAGCGTCGTGATGCTCCACTACTCTCTATCTCAAGTTTGTCTGATAGCATCGTAGCTGACATATGCCCCAAGACCTAAAGTGGAAGAATTTTTTTCTTTTTTCATATTATTTTCTCAACTCATTCTATTCATTTTTGTTTCAATTAACAACCAATAATCATTCATTTGAAATCAAATCAATTTGATATCCAAAACTGATTAATTTCATTAAATAAAATAAATATATAGCAGGAAAAATATAATTACATTGCTACAGTCAATATTTGCATCTTAATAAAAAATTCAAAGTCCAAAAAGCATATAAAGAATAGCCAACATCGGTTACAAAAGAATACATATAAACCAAAAGAACTTAAAATAAAATCTATATATCATTACTGCTAAGCCTTAATTCGCAGGTTCCTTATATTTACCTGAAATCATATAAAATAACATAAGAGCATAAAAGCTCAGTAAATAATCAAAACTATCATTGTCTTCAAATACAAGGTAAAAGAATCAATATGCATGTTTTAATAATCTATTAAATCTATAGCAATCAATAATAAAATCAATATGATCAGTTAAGTCAAAAGGAATCTATCAAAACATAAGAAAAATATTAATAAAAATGATTATATATCAATCAATAGGCCATATCAATATGTTATGCAATGTTGTATTGGTATCAATGCATATTATATCAATATAACTTTGATTCTATCAATTAATTAGTTAAATGCACTATCATATAAATGCAATCATATAATATCTAGCCTTAATGTAGTGTTTTTATCCTCCTATCAATTATTTGTCATATATATTTGAGCGTCAATCTTATCTTATCTTTCGATTATTTCTATTAAACATTTATTTTCACAGGTGACTTTTAATAATTATTTAAGAGTCGTCACCCTCTACCCGTCGATATAATTCGATAAATCAATTACAAGCTACACTAGGATCGCACCATAAACCTTTTATCTAAAGGAAAATCTGTTTGCCCACCCTCATACGTAGGGTATTATATTTTAAGAGCCAACTCATATTAATTATAATATCAGCAGTCAGCCTTTCATGCTTACATGCAAATACTATATTTTTATGTACAACATAAGTCAATATCAGATATGAAATGTTGTATTTTATAAAATGCAAGCATATCTATAAAATTTTTATATTATGCATTTACTTCAGAAAATTATAGTTTTTAATTTATCTTATAAAATTCAATAATATTACAATCAAAATAATTGATAGAATCATATTTATCATATGCAAAAAGTTAAAGAATGGAAGTTGACAAAAAGAAAGATATCATAATTTTTGTAAGTTTTGACTAAATTAGAATTCATAAAATATAAAATATACAAATTAGTTGAAATCAAAGGTAGGGTAATGATTGTCTACCTAGCTTGAGGCAAATAAAATTTTCAACTAGACGGACCTGCAAAATTGACTCTACGACCTTGAAATCCTAGGTTTTCTTTTCTCTCCTCTCTCTCTCTTTCTTCTTAAATTACCTATTAACTTCTCTGAAGTAGAATAAATAGGGAAAGGGCATTTGATGGATTGTGATAATAGAATATGATGTTTTATGATAAAATAATAGTATGATACAAAGGTAATTGTAAAATTTATTTAATTTTTATCACAAAATTCATATAAATCATGTTATATCTTCCAATATGGAGCTGTAAAAATTATAAAAATATATATTCATAAATTAGCTGAATATATCTAGAATGATATGATGAAATCAATTTGCAAAACAGATACCTAACGATCCCAAAAAACTCACTTGAACCGACATGTGTCAATTTTTTATACTGCCTCTAAAATTAAATTAGAAAAAAATATTATAATTAAAGCATAATAATATATATAATATGACGAAGACGATTTGTAAATTGGACTTATGATGACTCTTGAAAAATTATTTAACTTTGTTTAAATATGAGCTATTATAATCTTCCCACCTTTGAAAAATGTCGTCATTGACTTGTCTATATTAATCTAAGAGAGAAAGCATACTAAAAAGTAAAAACAAAACTACCAAATCAAATCAGCTCAAATCAATATAAAAAAATTTATATCAAAAAAATTATGTCAAAAATAAATTTTGAAATTTCATTGAAAAGCTTATAAAATAAATCTTTCAAAACAAAAGAAATTTTCTAAAACATATCTTCAAACATATATATATGTCAATTTTTTACACTAATAAAATTAGAAAATTTTATTATAATTAAAGCACAATATCTATAATATGGTAAAGACGGTTTACAATTTTAACTTATAATGATTCCCAAAAAATTATTTAACTATGTCAAAATTTGGGCTATTGATTGCGTCAGGATAGGGAGTACTACAACGACGAGGTTTCAAGCACCACAAGTGTTTGCTATCTGTTTGTGTCGAAGAAAACTATATAGCACCATAGCGTTCGGGTACATAGTATCACAATGCCCAGGTACACAACACCACAGTGTTGTACGGTTGTACTGGAAACAATTTTCTAGAGGACCCCCTGCAACCTCCCAACGAGGCCGACTGATGGAATTGAGATATGAGAAATTAGCAATACAATATCATTGATCGACATAATCAGATTCCACTAAAAACTGAAATAAAAGTGGTTAGCACAATTATCATGGTGTTATTTAGTTTATAGAGCTAGGAGAGCAGGCTTGCCATTTAGTTTCCTCCAGAGGAATGCTAGTATTAACCCTATAAATAAGAAGTCAATCTTCACTTCAACTTTTAGCAAATACTTCTACAAAATAAGATTTTATCTTGCATACTCATCATTCATCTTATTCTCCATTAGATGTTGAAGAGGATAATAAGCATTCATGATTTAATATAACCTATCGATCGATCTACCTAGCTAAGTTGTCTAATTGAGTGACTCAACTTGTATCTTCACCCCTCTTTATTTCATAACTTAGGATCAATATGTTTTATACATGCAATGACAAAAGAGATAGAGCTTAGAGAATAATTAGGTGTTAAAGAGATTGTTGGAGACATTGTTGATTCATTGTCTTTATTTCACCAACTTGTTGTTGGACCAATTAGTTATTGATTTTCTTATAATGCGCCCACTCAAAGAAGTTTTATACTCACCCTTGATAAAAATCATTGAAATTACGATTTGAATCAATTAAGGACAACTTGAATGCTATCTTTACTTTATAATATTCACCTTAATTTTCCTTAAACTAACTAGGAAGCCAAAAAAAACTTCCTTGATCTCTAACCAAAGTTAAGCTTAGCAGGTTAAAGAAAGAGGTTATACCTTCTTAAGGTATAGAAGGTAGACAAGATCCTAAAAGTGTTCTTCCAATTCTTCCAATTTTTTGGTCTTCATTAAAAGATCTTTAATATGGACCTTCAAATTCCATCTCTTCTTCACATGGAAGTTTAGATTCATCATGTGATGATAGTTTGCTCCTATATTTTCAAACCAAAGACATGACCTAATAATAATATACATCATCATTATTAATGAAGTTCCACCTCTTGATAGAATGATAGTAATTGGTTTCATCTAAATCTAATGGTAGCTAGAAAAAACTAATTATAAAGTTAATTACCCTATAAATGATGGTGGAGTTGATTAGTGAATGACACATAAAAGAGAGTATCCATTCCTTAAATAACCTTGGTTAATCTTATTGAAATTGATCCACATCCTACATTTTCATTATTCTTCTTTTCCATTGCAACATTGAAGATCCATATGGGATATTGAACTTTCTGAATAATCTTAAGCAGCACAAACCTTGTCTAATATATATTTACCAACTTTGTAGCCACATGAAGCTACCTCAATTTGATTATATTGCTCCTCTTTGCATATAAAACAACAACAACAACATCAAGCCCCCACTACGTGGGGTCATGAATCCTTTTTCACCATTGTGTCCTATTAAAAGTCAAATTCTCGTTTAAATCTAATAAAGAAAGGTCATTCAAATTTTTTTTCACATGAATTCTTTGCATATAATTTTTTTTTTTTTTTCAAATGCTCTAAACTGTATTGTTGATAAGTAATACAAAAATTTAAACCAAAATGGATTAACCAGTCGGGTTAATGATGATTGGATTAAGGTTGAGTCAATTTCAAGTCAAACCCAAACTAGACACATCAACCTATTTTGATACCTCTATATGAGACAGCCTCTTCTGTCTACTTGGCCCCCAACATTGTTGATGTCTTCAGGCCTATTTGGATACACGTAGGATTTAATTCGAAGCAGGATTTAAATTCTGCAAATTCAAATTAATGAATCCTAGGGTATTAAATCCTATTAAATTTTGATGTATCTTTTGGATAATTATTTCAATATTTAATGTTTGTTAGCTAAAATAAGATTTTTAAAAAATTATTAAAAACATAAATTAATATATATTATATAATTGCAATGAAATTAATCAAATCATATTGAATGATAATTCCTATATATTAATATTCTAACTAATTATTTATTAGTAAATTATTAAATTAGTAAAATATAAATTTTAATTTAATTTTTTTTATTAATCCTAATTATATTAATTAAATATAAGTAAAGCTAACAAGCTGATAGATTCATATTATTAAGATTAATTTATTTACTAAAGTCTCCATGGGAGCTCGTTGTGAAGGTAACGATCTTTCTACTTTGGCGCTCTTCTTCTCCTAAATTCAGTGGGATTTACTATATTCGTCGAATTTTTGGATATGGTAAGTTCGGGATTTACCAAGAAAATGGGGAAAATGCCATGAAGTATCATTTAGATTAGCCATGAAATTTGACTTTGCATTTTTTGGCATTTGGCAGGATTTAACTCAAATCCTGGATAAATCTAGCTTAAATGTTGCATCCAAACATGCCCTTAGGGCATCTCCAATCAAAAATCTCATTTTTCACTCCAAAATGTCGTGAAACTAAAAAATGCCGTGATTTATTTCCAATCGAACTCCATTTTGCCCCCTTTTGCGAAGGCAACGGTCGTTCTCTTCTTTCGCACGTTTCTTCGACAAATTTGGTAGAGATAAAAAAATGACAAAAATGAACAGTGCAACGCCAATATTGACGTCCCACTGTTCACCTGCAACCAAATAGCAGAAGTTTTACCATTCGGCTGGAGCTCGCGAGCGACACCATACAAGCGTTTGGAGTTCGGTTGGAGATGCCCTTAGTATCTTCTCTTGGATGAGATAGCTATTTGCACAAACCAATTGGTTAACATGGTCTTCTCTACCATCACCTTTCTTATCTTTGACTAAAATATCCTCTAACTTACCAGAATAAAGAAGTCTACTTGGTTTGTGGGCTCTCCCCAATGGACGGTATTCTTATGCTGCTAACTTTCTTTGACATCTTCATTTGATGGCATGCAAAGAGATTCCAACACCAACATTATTGAGCGCATATTGATTGGCTCCCTCAGCATTCGATCAAACTCTCTTATGAAATGATTGAATTCAATCATCTATCTAGACTTCCCTGGCCTATCAATGAGTTCTTCCATGCATAACATCCCTTACTTTATCATCCAAAGAAGCCTCTGTCACATTTTCTTCTCGAGCATATAGATATCATTTGGAAAGACTTGTCGAAAACCTCCACTCACTTGACTTTAGTCAAATAGGATTGAGATATCTCATCAAGTTTTTAACACCTCATCGTCTGAGGATATTTTTAGCATCTTTAGTCGGACATCAGATGTCTATTATATAGAACATCTCATAATAATCAGGTGCTCCATACCTCAAAAATTGCTCGAGGATTTAACCTATCTAATTATCATCAAGTTGGCTTCTCTTCCTCTCATGAAGACATGAACTCTTGTACATATAAATGGAGGATTCCCCTTTTCTCCCTATCCTTTCCTTATTGATGCCTCTCGATGGGTCAATTTGGGCCTCTATAGATGTACTTATCTTCATATGCTTCATACATACTACCTCACTTTTCACCTCTTCATAATGATAGATTCACTACTATAACTTGAGGCCCATAGACATCATATATTGGAGATATTAGCTAAACTCACATCTACAATGTTATCAATCTTTATTTGAGCTTGTAAGTATCTTAAGCTAAAGGATCACCTTCTCCTCTTTCCTCTATAGGCATCACCCCTCTCCTCATTGCAAGTCATGTGATATCATCTTAAAGGCAGCATGCTTTTCAATAAATGATGCTTTTATATGATGATCGTGATATATCGATAAAACTCATAAAATAAAGACATATCTGATTGTCCATCCACCCCCTCTCCTTTATAGGCTTAGAATTAGGAGGCCGTTAAATAATTCTTTATTATCAATCATCATTATTATTGGGTTTTAAAATTGCTTCGTAGATTCCTTTTTATTAGAAAGGAATGGTGTATGTACTTTCATTGATATGCTGTTAATGAGAAGCAAGAGGAGGGACATAATAAAATTTCTCATCATTAATATATTTATTGGTCATCTCCAACATGTCAACCATTGAATTCAATGAGTTCTTGACCACATAGAGAAATATGCAACGATGATCGCTAAGATTTTTATCGAGATGAGATTTTTTTAGACATTAGCGTAATGACTTATTCTGCATAAAATAAAATGCGCTAAAAGAAAAAAAAAAGTTGGCAACTAGATTATAGTATTATACTCAACGGTAATAACACACTATTTGGATAGTTTATGAATTGGGAGTAAAAATGAAAATCCCGTAAATTTTATCCTTAAATAGGAGCAAATAGTAAAGACACTAAAAAGGACAATGTACTTTAGCATGGTAAAGTAAAACATATAACGGATCCAACGATAGCTCAACGGTAAAAGATGAAAATCAAAGGTGTGTCAATTTTGGATCACGGGACCGATTCGGGTCGAACCCGAAACTGATCCGGCACTATTCGGGTCAACCCGAAAACGGGTCAATTTTTCTGACCCGAGGGCCGAGCCCGACCTGCTTCTGAAAACGGGTCAATTTTTCTGACCCGAGGGCCGAGCCCGACCTGCTTCGGGTCCGAGTCAACCCAACACAACCCGAATGACCCATTTTCAAAAAAAAAAATTGCTAGTTTTCGGGTCAAAAATGGATCTATCTCCTCTTTTTTGAGTCAAAATCAGGTCAATCTCGAGTCAAAGGGTTAACCCTAACCCGACCCGTTTAGCGTTCAGGTTGACCCTAACCCTAAATTTTCGGGTCGGATTTGAGTCGGGTTTTCGGGTCATGTCAAATATTGACACTTCTTAAATAATCTCTTACTAATTCTCATTCGAATTCCTTAACCTATCAATACAAAAAAGAAAAAAAAAATAAGAACATATACAACATATGATATAAAGTAAATAAATAACAAAAATGTCGCAGCTCGAGTATGTATGACAAAAGTTTACAAAAGTATAAGAGAAAAACGAAATAAAACAAAAAAAAAAAGTTCTAAATCATAAACAATAGGCTTTCCCAAAACTAAAATATTCAACAAATGAAGCACGCGATAAGGAAAAAGAAGAAAAAACAGCACCAGCCATTTAGTTTAGTCGCATTATCCCAAGTCCAAAGTTCCAACTATTGTAATAAAAGAATGAAAAGACAGTCAAAAAGGAGACTAATCCTACTCGGTAGGCTTATCCAAATAACTGATAGATATTATATATAATGATGACACCTAAACTCTATTGCATTTTATAGCATAAAAATAAGTTTTCTTTAAAGAAAAATATTATACTTCCCAAAAAAACATAAAATTTTATTTATAATTATAACTCTTCTCAAATAAAAATAAATAATAACATTAAATTTAATTAATTCATTCTTAAGAACAAATGAGCATGTACATGAAGCATACTACTTAGTTAAGTGTTGCAGAGATGAGGATGCTCAGGTGGATGAGTGACTTTACCCTTAAAGATAGAATACAAAATGAGCATATACGTGAAAATGTTGAAGCAACTTCTTCTGAAGATAAGATTAGAGAGTCGCCTTAAATAGTTTGGTCACATAACATGACAATCTTTCAATAACCCAGCTAAAAAAGTAAAGATATTATTAGATTTGACTTAGGTTAAGAAAGTGACAGATAGACCTAACAAAACTTGGTTAAAAAATATTAAAAATAATTTTCTTTATTAAATTTAAATAAAAATTTAACTTTTAATAGATCGCAAAAAATAAAAAAAGATTCATGTAGCCAACCTTATATAATAGGACAAAGACTTGATGTTGTTGTTGGCATCTTTAAAAACAAATTCCAATGGAAATTTGTATGAATTATTTTGGGCATCATTGTCTACTCTTTTCTTTTGCATATAGTTTTATAATAATGAACAATATACAATACATTAAAATTTGTTTGAGACAACTTTCTTATTATTTTTAAAATAACTTTTTAGTACAATTTCTTTTAATTAAATATTTTTATACTGAAAAATTCTATTAAAAATAATAAAAAGCAATATCTCAATCGAAGCATACCTCCAAAGCAATACGTTCAGACAAATACCTACATAATTTCATAATCCTAACCCACAATTAAAATCTAGTTCATTCATCACTGTAAGAATTCCGGAATTTTATTTTACACATTATAGAACACAATAAATAAAACATTAAAAATGACGCTGAAAGCCCCCTTTATGGGAACAAACATTAAAAATGACGTAGAGGAACGTCCGGTCGGCACTAAAATCCCGCCAAAAAACTCGGTATTTGCTCGGTATTACTTGGTAATAACGAGGAATACCGGTCTGTGAAGACCAATACCGAGTTATACCGAGCTATACAGAGCAATACCGAGTTAGAATATAGCTCGGTATAACTCGGTATTGGGTCTTCACATGATGGTATTCCTCGCTATTGTTTGGCATTGCTCGGTATTTGCTCGATATTTCTCGTTTTTTGGCGCATTTTCAGCTCTGATCGGACGTAGCTCTACGTCCGGTCGGAGGACGTAATAATTGTTCCCTTTATGGGCAACAAAATTCTCAAAGGTGAAGATGACCAACTCTCTTAACTAAAGTAAACCAGCCAAACAATGTGAAATCTGTAACAAGTAACCTGCAATCATACTTTCACAGGCCAAGGGAGAAAATTTTACAAAAGACAAGCCAGGAATAACTCTCCAATCAGGCATTCACTACTCCTAAAATCCTTAATAGCAATATGAAATGCACCTAGGAATCTAACAATATCTTCTAAATATCAATTCAGCCATCATTTGGAACGGCTTTTTTACTGCTTCCTAAAGCAGCTTTTTAGTACAAAAGTTTTAATTTTTATACTAAAAAGTTGCTTTAAGAAACAGTAAAAAAGTTGTTCCAAACGAAGCTTCAATGGTTTGATCATCAAGGATAACTCCACCGGATATTGATAGAGATGTGAAACAAATGGGTCTCAAGTAGCACCTGGAGGAAACATTTGTTGAAGAACTCGGGGTAAATTCAGCACTATTTCCGCGTATGCTACAACATAGAAATCAGAAAAGTTAGAATTGAAATCAAAATAAAGGGATGAATCATGAAATCTGTTATAATCCAACCTTCAGGCAAACTCATAGTTCTCAATGCATCCTCTGCATAGGAAAGCCGTGATGGAATAGATTGGGCTGCTGCAATACTTCCTTTTTTCTCGGTTCCTAAGATCTTCTTCGATGGATGAAGAGGCCAAGCAAGAACTCGAATTCGACTTGGTAAAATAGAAACCAGATCTGCGTACCTAAGACTCACAGTCACCTTGCTGCAACAATGGAAATGAAGTGATTCAGCGCATAAGAGCTCAGTCAGAAAATATATGTTATAGGTGTATTCTGCCTGAAATTGGGCAGATACTCCATTACACAAAATCCCTTATTTCTACTACTGTCACGAAACAACTAGAAATATGACAATGTGAACACTTTTATCATTACTCAGAAGATAAAAAAAAGGGTACAAAAGATATTTAAAAAACGGAGGGTGTCAAATGTTTGGAACTTAAGTCCTCATAAATTTATACATATAATTTATACATAAATTTATATTACATAAATCTTGAGCTTATTTTACATAAATTTATATTCTATACGACATTGGACTAGTGTTTTGTTAGTTTATACATCTGATAAGCATTATGTTTTTGTATGTGTGTGTGCACAGTGCATGCGAAAATGAAAAAAAAAAAAAAGGTGCATGCGAATATGACGGTTTATTGGTTCCATATCTAAGAGCTTTTCCTATTCCACAAGTTATTCCATTTTAATATTTCTTTAAAAAAAGTTAGCATGGAAGAAGTCAGAAAGATGAAAGTTCCTTCGCAACTTGGGAAAGAGAACCGAAGATAAATTTTTGTGATTTTTACTTGAGAGATAGATCGAACAAAGAAACTGATCAAACATTTATTTTGATAAAAAAGATGGCAGATTTTGATTATGAACTTTGAAAGAGGGCAGGATGAATGTATGATAGAACACAAGTGAATGACATGTAAGACAAAATTACAAAAGATTGAAAACTATCGAGAGAGAAATTTCAAGTCTTGAGGGGGATCTAAAGAGAATGACTATTGATGTGCCAGACAATTGGCAAAAAGATAGTTGAATGTCCACCTATTTGTTAATCTTAGATTTTCAATAAGGTCATTATCACCTATGTTGCACTGATACACTTATTTGTGAAGGCGTGTTGTATCTAATACACCGATACACGGATACGCCTCCAATACGTGTCGGATACAACTTTGACGTATCCAATTAAAATACTATTTAATTTCAAAAGGACACGCACATCCGATACGCGTGTTTGTTGAAAAACAAAAAAAATCCAAAAAAAAGACCCGTCGTATTTACTTCCACGGCTGCGAGCAAGGTTCTCTCACTTCCGAGATGGATTTGAGTCTTTTAATGATAAGACAATATTAGAAATTGTTATTCTTTCACTTGATGAGCCTGAATTAAAAGCTATGATATTTATTGAAGATGATATAAAGTTCAAAGACAAACCACTGAAGAAGCTAATCATATCATTCCTTCTATTGAATAGTTGAAACTTAATGTGCTAGACAATTTATGTATATGATTTTGTTTAAAAAAAATGTTTATGATTTTGTTGTTGTACTAGACATTTAACGCTTACTTTTATTTTGATAGTACAAGCTACAAGGCTACAAATGATGTTACTTTTTTTTTGTAATTTCAAATATTATGCTTTGATTGTTTTCTTAATATTTATGTATGATTTATAAATTATAATGTTGTGTCCGCGCCGTACCCGTATCCTGTATTTTAAAAAATTGATGTGTCCCGTATCCGTATCATGTCGTATACGGCGTCGTATCCGTATCGGTGCAACCTAGATTATCACTAATGAGATGTGTTTAGTTTTTAGGTTTTACTGGCAATAAAGAAATTTAAATGTTGTGCCATCTAGAATTAGTAGAAAAATTGGATCTAATATTCCCAAACATAGTTGTCATTGACGAGATAGCATGGACCCCCAAAAAAAGACAAGTTGTCTAATGATATGGCAATCATAGGAACACTGACAAGAAAGAAAATTCTAGTATCAAAGTGAATGAAGCCTTAAAGAACAAGAGTAATACCACCAAATGTAGTGGATCAAAGATATGAACCACATTAGGACATCAACTACACTGGGTGGTGCGAAGAGGAAAAAATGAAACTGGTCAATTTTCCTAAGAAATCAAATTTCACAATTATTTAATGCATGTAAAACATGAATTTGAATTCAATATCATTAGAACCTTAAGATTGGTCCACCTACATTGGCCCCCACAATCTTTATGTAAGATCATATTTAAAAAATCTAAGAAGATGCACAACTACATTTTTTTCTAGAAATGCACTCGAGGATCCAAACAAGTGAATTGTCATGGCTAATGTTAAGAACATTCACTACCTTCAGAATCTTTTTTGATAGTCATGAAAAGTGATATGTTGGGCTTTTCTTGATTGTGCTTGGTGGCCCCTTCAATTATCTTTTTTTTTTCTTATGAGGATCCAAAAAGTAATATGTTGGGCTTTTTTTTCTTAGAACTTTAGATTAATGTTAGTTGTCAATCATATACGTAGAGATACATGTTATATGGCATATAGTAGCAGCATGGGCATTTGAAATGGTTGGAGATTTGGGAAATTTATACTTAAAACAGAAATGTCACCATCTTCCACTTAAAGAGGATGGTGGGGGAATGGATGAGGGACCCAATCAAGATCCCATGGTTTCGTTGTCCCGGGCCATCGTGGTCCCTGGTGTACTTAGTCAGAGGAGTTAGTCAACCCAATCTGACAGAAGGATCCTTCTCAACAGCCATGTGTTGCTTCGTCCAAGGATACCTTGTAGACCTGGGATGGATGTTAGTCTAAGGGGACAAATTTGAATCCACCTTAGCTAACAGAGGACTTTGTGCCCTATCGATCATATTCTATTGATTCATATCTCAAGGATTTGATGCCACTAAGGAACATATTGGCTCTGACTATAACCGGTATCTCGTGGTGCCATTTGGCGGCAAAACCACTTGGTTTAGAGGGCCCCGAGTCATAACCGTTTATCCTGCGGTGCCATTTGACGACAAAACCGTCGGTCAGAGGACACGTACCACGTCCTTACTAGCAGGAGATTGTTTGAGAATGAATACTAGTGATATTCTCGACTAGGCATTAGCTCTTTGTGAGCTGAAGTAGTTTTTCAATTTGTCCATCTCGGCAAACTGTTGCGGAGCGTGGATGAATTTTATTTTAAGTGGTTCGTGGTTGAATTTCAATTTTAAATGTTTTTGTATTTCTGAATTTTGGATGATCTTTGGAATTTTGGATTTTTGGGTAATTGGAGTGGCATTTTGAATATTTGTGAACCCCTCCGGTTTAGATTTACATTCAACAAGGCCATCATCAGGGTATCACGGGTCATTTCCATTTGAAGATATTTGCATTTTGTAGATGAACCTTGCCGACACCGTCGAGTCGAGTCGAGTTATCGACAAAGGATCGGGTTTCGTAGGCTTTATATCTTTGTTTGTGAATTTTCCTTATTATAGGTCTTGAAGGCATAATATGAATGTATCAAAACAAATATACCGGTCGCCACAACCCTGTCGACTCTTATTGATCCGCATAGAAGGATCAGGTTTGAACTTAAATTCACTTATTAACCCGCACAACATCCCTAAACGTCACGTGTGTATGAGCAACACACTCGCTGGGGCCCATGCAAATGTGTGAGGACATTATATAATTATTTGTTGATTGAACCTTGTCGACTCCTACTTAGTTTCTTAGGAGGATTGGGTTTTGTAGGCTTTGGACCTTCATTAGTGGATTCTCTTGATTATAGACCATGAAGACCTAATATGAATGTATCAAAACAAATATATAGGTCGCCGCAACCGTATATTTATTTGATGGTTCGAACCCTATCGACTCCTATTGATCCATATAGAAGGATCAGGTTCGAATTTGAATTCACTTATTTTCCCGTGCAACATCCCTAGACGTCACATGTATACCAATAATACGCTCGTCGGGGCCCATGCAGGTTTGAAGATTGCACTTGCCCTTTTTGTGTACCTATGTGTATACAAATTACAGTGCATGTTCAGGGACATTTTTGAATGTTTATCATTGATCATCTGAGTGTGATGATCTACTTGGAAGCTCGTATATGTCTTTTGTCCGCTTGCATGAATGTTGCGGATCCGGTGATATTGCGTAGCAGCTTCTAAATTGAATTGTTCGCTGCTTTGTACAGGTAGACTTTCGTGCACTACTTGTTTGTTTTCTGCAGAGGAATCGTAGTGCATTAACGAATCTCCTGCTTTGATTCGTAGGCCCTTGTATTTGTTGTGGTTCTCTTGCATTTTGCTTGTAGGCAATATATTTGACATATAACAAATCTCCTGCAGCAGTTCGTAGGAGTTTGCATTTGCTACATGTTTCTCACTTTTGGCTGCAAAAGGATCGATATATTTGCCTGTAACTGATATGTTGAGTGTACGACAACGAAATTTTATTAGGTGCGGAGTGCGGACGGGGTGAGAACCGTCAGCACAGACACAGTTTAACAAGCAGTACCCAGTGGTACCGAACGGTACCGAGCGCGGTTTTATACTAGTGTGCGGACGGTTCTCCCGTCCGCACTCCGTACCTAATAGTTTCTCACAACGGGTCTCTTTCAGTGGCTCGTAAGCATTTGCATTTGATATAGTCACTTTGTATCTTGCTTGTGGACAATAGACTGGGTGTACTACGAGTCTTCTACCGTGGCCCATGGATACTTGCATTTTATGTGTTCAGTTTGTATTTTTTCCTGTGGAGAACACATTGGGTGTACTAGTCTTTGAAAATTTGTGTTTTCTATGTATCATCTGCTTTTATTGGCAGATGACCGGTGTGTTTGTCTGCTTCTGCACCATATAAATTGAATGAGAGTTGTATTCTCCTCGACCTATTCAAAACACATCATGTCTTCCAGTTCATCGCATATTGAATCCCCCTAATTGTAGTTGTAGGAGACAAGTGCATCTACTTGCCACTGCCTTATTACAGGTTGTATAAGTATCTTAGTACTTGCTGCAGGCTCCTTGTATATTTGCCTACAACTAGACTGTATATTCCTTCTATATTCTCAATCGTTGTGGGGTTGGATACCTTCATTTGTATCTTGATGCCGGTCATGGAGCATTGCTACATTCATCACATCTTGGTCTCTTGTTGTAGAAGACATGTGTATTCATCTCATTCGTTTCTTGCAAGATGTATTGTATTTGACTTCATCTTAACATAAACCATAAGATGTGGCATTTAGTGACTTGCACGAATCTTCTAGAACTACCACTTTTTCTCTAAACTCCTCAAGCTCCATATTTGCATTAGATAAAGAGTTCTCCAAGGTTATGTTTCATGAGTTGAAATTAAGCTGCACATCTCCTTCAACTTCATCAATTGATATACATATGCAAGCCATATTGATGTCTTGCCCATCATTGATTCTTCACCTGTATCTCTAGGGATTCAATATGCAAGATGGTTGCTCCCATTTCTTTTGTTAGACTTTGATGATTCAATTCTATCACATTTTTGTCTTCCTTTGGAGATTCAAACTCTTGCTGAAGAATTTTCTTGTTCTCTTCCTGGATTTCAATTTCATCTCCTATTTAGGGTTCATTTCCATCAAGGAAACTACCGCATCTTTCAAGTGTTTCATCTTCAAAGCACATGTCAAGTTGTGTTCATTTAGTTTTTATTTATTCATTATTTGATGGCTCGGGTTTATTTTATGATTAATTTGAGTATGACTTGGTCTATTTAATGTTCAGTTCAAGTCCACAAATCTTGTCCAAGTCCAAGTCCGGTGAAGCTTCAATATGAATCCTTATTCATTTGAGTTTGGGTCCAAATGGTTCAAGTTATGGCTCTCTTGAATCAAATGAGATTCAAATTCAAACTTCATTGTAGTTCAAATTCTAAGTCCACAAATTTGTGCTTGAGTTTAAGTATACTTTAGGCTCTTGGTGAACCTCTTCCATTTATTCGAGTCCCTTGTACTTCGAATTTTGTTCAAGTTCAATATGAGTTCAAGTTCAATCATAGTCCCCTGCGATCCTTTGTCACTTGTTTTGATTCAAATTCATTTAGGTTCCATTTGTTATCGTTCGCTTAGCAAGTTCAAATTGGATCTTTTATGTTCATTTAAATCAATATTAAGTTCATTTTCATTCGTCGTCCGCTCAAACTTAAGTCCAAACAAAGTCCACTATTTGTTCCAAGTCCTTATCCTTTTTCACATAAAATTTCGGCAACCTCCTAGCGTCTCCCCTGTTTAGGGGAAAAACAAAGAGGCAGTCTACCCGCCACGTCAAGAAAGACGTGCACGATTGGTGTTGTGAGACACCGCGGCCGTAGTCTTTGTCATCCACCACGCCAAGAAAGGCGTGCATGGGTCTTTAAAAGCATATGTTTGAAAAAGACAGTTCTTTCCCCGCGTACGGGTACTTATATTTTTGCTCTGCCGCGCTAAAAAAAGTGCGCACATGGATCGCCTGCTTCGTTGTAAGCACCACACCAAGTTCCCTCCCACCATGCTAAGAAAAGCTTGCATGGGTGGTCCTTAGCGCGCCACGAACATCGAAGAAATGACTTTAGGGGGGAGTTGATCTGAGTTGGGTTTAATAGGTTGAGAAAGGCTGAGTTAGGCTGAGTTGGGGAGATGAGTGAGCTGAGTTGACAAGGGTTGGATGAGGGTTAAGTGGGGGGGACTGCGGTTTGAGTAGAAGAGTTTGTGAATGGGGAAGTGTCGTGGGAGAAGGAGCTCAGTCTGAGGGAGATCGTGGGAGCTTCGCGGAAAGGAGAGGTATGAGGAAGAATCTCTCTCTCTCTCTCTATGGAGTGGGAGGAATCTAAATAAACAGAGGTCGGAAGGGCTTCGGCCTTTTTTGCCTTGGGGTCGATCGGCCTATAGGAGGTGGATTGGACGGGATTGGGAGGAAATCCGGGCGTTGGAGCTTGCGACTGGAGTTCGGTCGGAGAGAGCAGGTAAGAAGCGAAGGTTTTTGCATATGGAAGGGGCCAGCTTTGGAGTTGGGTTGTGTTTCGCGTGAGAGACGATGAGGAGATTGGGATTGGTTGGGGTTTTGCAGGATTTAGGTAAGAGGAAAGCTTACGGAAGTTTGAGAGATCTCCACTGCAGGCGTCGGAGGTCTCACAGGAATGAAGCAACGGACCCGAAGTCTCCTTTCGGTCCCCCTTTTAACGATGAATGCAGGAGGCTTGCGAGATCGAGGCGGGATACGCACACAGGATACCTCTCGGCGCCGTTTGAATGGGGTATGGGCTGCCGACTACAACAGGATTTGCGTATGATTTGAGCAGTTGTGACAAGTATTTTTTATTGTATATATATATATATATATATATATATATATATATATGATTTTGTTTTGGCTGGTAGTAGAGGTCAACAGCCGTAGCCACATTCCTATAAGTTCGATAATCTTCAACAAACACCAAGTTATCATCATCAATAGCATCATCCAATTTCCTAGTCAACCATTCAATGGTATCATCAACATCATCTAGAGTGCCATAATATTTGTAGTATTAGATCAAAGTCCTATTATATTTCATGTACACAAAATTCTTTATGCAATCATACTTCATCCTGTTTTGTCTTCTTCTATGGAGCTGCAACAAAGTTTCTTGAGATTAATCTATTTGAAACTAAAATTAACCCAAGTAACATAACCACAATTGTGTATTGTATAATAATTTGAGGAGTGGCATTAAATATTAGAAATGCTTACATGTTCAAAGTTCAAATACCCTCCACTTATATTTACTGAGATGCATTATATGTGAGGCCAACTCTTACCAACTAAAACATTCTCTAAGGCATTATCAGACACAACCTGAAGCACATTTTTGTAGATCCAGTTTATCAAGCCAAACATTTTTATAGCATTCTTTGAGTATGAACAAATATTCACTTAATTTTATATATGCAGTTCCTCTAGAGCAAATTACAAAATTTTCCCAGCATAATATTGCCAATCATCAACTATTAAGAGTATAAACATACTTTACTGTATTAATTCGGATAAAGATGAAATAACTTCTCTATGTTTTCCATCGCATTATGCAATGAAGGAACTCAAACCTCATTATAATTTGGATGTTTCGTTCTAGACCAATTTGTATGGATGATTTCAATTTAGTTCATACTTGACTGCATTAAAACTAACTCCAGTATCATACATCCATCTGTCATGTAAAGTTAGAATTTCTCGCTCTCAATTACCTTTAGCTTCCATCTCCTTTTGCATTTGTCGTTAATTACTAGAGATTCAGAGTGAGATATATGCCAAAAAGTCCTTTTTTCCGTTGAACCTGTCAATTTAGCGGTAGATGTGGAATGTTAACTTCCTTTTATCGGCTCAACAACCAAGCAAATCTTTGAACTCATGATTATCATCTCCAAAAGTATCATCATCATAAAAAAAATGTGATAATGAATGACTTTCTATTTTAGTTATTTTTTCATGTAATTCTTAATTCCATTTTTCCATATTCATGCAAGAGAATTTTGGCATTCTTATGCCTCACAACAGGATGTTGCTTTTATCTTATAATTTTGTCATTTATTATCTTAACACAAAATATACATAGCAAACCATTCATATTCTTCGAGTTGAGAAGAAAGCATACTTACAAGTTGGATCCTTCATATTTCCATATGAAGAATTGTTTTCAAATATTTCTAATTTATTCCACCAAATTAATAAAAAGCATAAATTAGCTGCAAAATATAGTAATAAAAAATAAATTCATTTTAAAAATTAAAAAATTCGCTTGGAAACAAGCATACTTCCATGTTGGTCGATGTCAAATGTTCTTGCAAATAAGACTCGCAAGTAGGGGACATCAGCTACTCTTGTGCACAAGTAGACTTGTTAAATGTGAAGGAAGATGGAACTGGAGGCTCAAAGACAATACTCACTATTGGGTGTTGTCAGCTGCCCTCATGAATGGAAAGACTTAGAAGTAGATGCAAAGTCAAAAAGGACTGAGAGCTCGTGTACATGTTGGATGTTGGTGGTTGCAGATGTGAAGGTGAACAAAGATGGGCCAGGAGACTAAGGGCTGGATGCTGGCATTGGCAAATGTGTAGGAAGATAAGGCTGAAGCTAGCGGACAATACAAACACTAATGGCCGGTGTCACAAACAAGATAGTCTAAAAGAAGAGGCAAAGGAAAGAGGATTAACAGTTCCAGGATGTGATGATTGTTACAATGTATAGATTTTCTATTTGAGCCTCATTTTATTTATTTCATTTTGGTACATAGTTGTTTAGGTTAGTAGTTGTTAGGTTAAGTGGGAGCCTCTATTTATTATATGAAAAAATAAAGCGTAAGAGAATCTAATAAACTTTTAATACAATGCATATGGTGCACGCCATGCACCTTGCACCATGGTGCCCTACAAACACAAATGGTGCACGCCATACGTAAGGCATAGGGTGTACACCATTGTGTGTAGCATGACACTTTTTGATTTATAAGCAGCACCCTGTCAGTTGAATTTTAAAACAACAATAATAATAGCTTCAACCGAATCAAATTTTCCGACAACCATTTCAAAAGAGTAGATATTGCTCATAAATTGCCTTGGCTTGAATAAATAAACAATCAAATATATCATCTTTTAAAGTGGATTTTGTATAAATAACAATGTAGCAGCTAAATAGACACTTACCAATCAAAGTCATCCAAAACAAAGTCAATCATATTGTACGGAAGACTGTGGAAGAGATCCTTGATTTGATTACCATAGAGCTCCTTAATAAGACGAACCTATATGAACTAGAAAAAAAATGAATAAGATTGTATCGAAAAGTTAGGCTCTGAGAAAGAATAATTACTCAAAATTCTTAACATATAAACCACACATAAAAAAGGGTTATAAATCTCAAGGAACTATGGATAAATTAATAAAGTGCATGGAACTTTCACACTTAAACAGCCAAAGAATTGCAATATATTGCAGTGTAACTTTGTCTTATACAACTAATTGAAGCATGTGTATGCATAACATGAGCAGCAATTCTATGATTTGATGGACCTCTACATGCTTTTAGAATTAAAGTTGTCAAACAAAATCCGCATATGGAAAACCAATATGAATCACAAGGTGGAAATCTTTTCTCGTTAACAATCTTTCAAAAAGTACCCAAAAAAGGAGCAATGGAATGTACAGTAAAGTAAACAAAACGTAACAAAATACAGTCAGTAAATACCAATATATTCTTAAAAATGAAAAGGCAGATCCAGATACCTGCTCTCTTCTGTCCACATACGCTTGGCAGATTGCACCAACATAGTCTATGAATTTCTGGATTAAAAAACAGTGCAAGTTAAAGAAGCAGCAGATTTAAAATTAAAAAGTGATGGGCGCAGGCTAGTCTTGGAAAGCATACTATGGCATTGGAAGAGAGAAGATCATTTTCTGCTTCCCGAATTGGCAGAAAGAAAGGCACAGTATGCTGAATCACAGTCATCTTTTCAAGAAATGATTTGCTTTCAAGCACACAATGGTAAATTTCACAAGGTTCTCCTGCACATCGGAATAAGAAGCAATTTGCTACTTGAGTTGGATTCCATAAAATCCATTACATAAATTATTGCAACACATCGCATGATAGTCTTAATCTTCCAAATAAAAAAGTTAATATTCCAAACTATGCCACAAGATCCTGATTCACATCATGAAATAATTTTGTAGGGCAAAAAAAAATCAAAGGAAAAGTTATAATCCTGAAATCCTTTTCCATGCAGTATGATCAAAGGAAATTAAGCAACCAAGAATCACTCCCTCAACATCTATAAATGTAAAATGATGAAAAGACAGTAGTTTAGTCCAGAAGCTATTTAATTATCACAAACAAAAACACCTACCTGAAACTGATAAAAGCAAATTATTAAAGACTTATTTTTCTATTAGTTTTCAATTTCTATAGAATGTCATTTGGTGATGTAATTTATATGTAAATGTTGCTTAATTTAAGTTCCTTTTTCCCCCAAGGTCCAAATTGCTCTCCCTTCAGTTGATGATGCAGCTTCTAACTTCTATGATGTTTTCGATAGCCACAATGCTAAATCCAGCCATGGTATGTAAATAGATAGATTTTCAGTCAGGTGCAAGTAATACAATTCAAATTCACTCACATTGTTGACCTCGACTTGAATCCCAGAAAACCCGCCGAAATCCTGGGTAAATCCCGTAGTTACGTACCTGTTTGGCGCCGACGCCGCTCTTCGCGCGATTCATGTTCAAATCCTGCTCAAGGAGGCCGGCTCACGTTAATAAAACGGACATGAATGACCTCGTCTCGGTTCTTCTTCCACTGCCAAGCTCCAGCCTCTACCTCAGAACTCCTCCAACCGCCAGCCCTTCTACCTCATGTCGTCAACTAGCCGCAAACGATCGGCCCGACTGAGCCAGACACTGCCTTCAAATCCCTAGCCCCATTCGCAACCACTATTGCAGACCTCCCGTCTCTACCTCACGAACAACCTTCAACCGAGCCCCATCCAACACCCACTCCGACGCCAAAGCCAGCTCGATCGAAGCCGCAACCACTGATCTTCCCAACCCGCCTCCTACAGGCCGACCGACCCCAAGAAAGCTTCGATCATCCTCATAATCTCAACTCTCACACCAGCTTGTAGCCGAACTCCACTACCCTTCTTCTCCAACTGCCAGCTGCAACTCCCTCCACAAGTCACTGCCTCCGACCATATCAATCCAGCCGACCTCAAACCATCCACGAACCCTATCCAACCTCAATCTTCGGCTCTTCTGTAGAATCTCCAACCAACTAAGCCTCTCCTCACACCCAAACCACAAGCATCCCGACCCTTTGCCCATTTACACCTCTAATCCTCTAAGCCGAGACCCGCATCCAGCCTATCATCTTCACCTAGCCATCCCTGTGTCGATTTCCCTCAAAGTAAGGTAATATTTTTCTCTTAAGTTTTATTAAGATTACTTGTTATCATTATTATTATTATTATTATTATTATTTAAAAAAAGAGAAGTTTGAAAATTAAAATAAAAAAAGTCAGAAGAACAAAAAAGAGACAAATAAGAGAAGAAAGAAAATACAAAAAAAAGAAAATAGAAAAAAATTATAAAAAAAAAAGAGAACTCAAAAAAAAGGGGCAAAGAAATTTTTGCACATCATCATTGTCGCCTCGTCTTCATCGCCACCATCACGTCACGCGGGTATAACTTCTAAAACTCGAGAACCCCGCTGTCGGCGTTTGCGGCGAGTCAGAGGACCCCCTATTCGCACTCTTATAGCACAGTAGGAGGGAGCCCTGTGTGACGCTTGCGATGAGGCAGGTAGGCCCTCTACACGCTCTCATAGTGTGGCGGGGACTCTTATAAGTACTCATACGCGCCTCAGTGCCGACGGGGGAAGAAAATTGTGCATTTTTAAACAGGTACATAGAAGACCCATACACGCTCTCGTAGCATGGTGAGATTGAAGAAATACAACCACGGTGTCGCCTAACACCTACCATACGCGCTCTCATTACATGGTGTGATGGACAATATTCCTAAAATTATTATACTGATGAGGGAGACGTCGGAAGACTGCCAAAAAATTATACTGATGAGGGACTTGATTTGAACTCAAATAAACAACAACAATGGACCTTAATTTGAACACAAAAGAACGCAAGAAACTGAACATGTAAACCGAACCGCAGGGGACTTGAACTTTAATGAACCACATGGAACTGAATTTAAATTAAAATGCAATGAAACAAACTTTAAATTGATAACATACAATCAGGTTGGAAATACAATCGCTAAGTAACAAATTCGGTCACTCAAATGAACATAAACAAGCAAATAGGGAACCCTTTGCATACAAAGAACAATATGCGCACAAGGAAATGCAATCATTTGCATATGATTATGAACATGAACATGGCGCTCGCATAAGTATTGTAGTTCATCTGCATGAGGGAGACTTGTGATGAATACATAACCTCATTTGTAGACAATGAAGGGAGACAAGATGATTGCAATAAATATCATAGTGTGCTCATGAAAAAGAACACTGAAGCTCACACATAGCAAATGTCACTTCAGCATAAACAAATAAAATAGACCCTTGCAAGTGATGGAGATCGATGCACAAAGAATATGCTGAACTCCTCACAGACACAAATCAGGGAATTGCAATAAGCACAACATGCTACCTACTGACGAAAGCAGCATATTCATGACGAGTACAAAGATTTACAATTAGGCTTCGTTTGGAACAGCTTTTTTATTGTTTCTTAAAGCAGTTTCTAATATAAATATTTTAATTTATATACTAGAAAGTTGTTTAAGAAGAAATAAAAAAATCGCCCCAAATGAAACCTTAATGTAGCCCGCCTACAAGTGACTACAAAGAACATGCAATGAATATTACGATGCCCCTTCAATCAACGATATCCAGCTTACATATGAGTGCAGTAGTTCCCTATTAATATAAAGAGATGATGAGCGTAGTAAGTTGTTAATGAACATATGTGAAGAAATCCTCGATGAATGCATCTCACCCAATTGTCAGTATTGATCTATAGATGAATGCACCAATCCACCAGCAAACATTGAAATTCCTTACAAATATACATAATGCAACGTACGATGAATATGAAGACCCATTCGCAGCAACTGAAGATTTGTCGTATACAAAGTAGTATGCCTACGAGTGGTGTCCAGCAACATGCAATGATTGCAAGGATAGCCTCAAAACCAACATCAATCAAACATCTAGCAAAACGTACAAGTCTCCTACAAGCAAAAGAGTTTGATAGGCGACACATGATGAATTCAAATATATATAGCGTAGCATACAACGAGTGCAAACATCTACCAACAATTTTCCTACTAGCAGATAAAGGAGTTTCGTCAAGCATACAATAGCCAGTCGGCGGATGGACATGAACGATGAGCAATGAATGTTAAAACATTTCTACAGCCATTGATGATGCAATGTCAGGGAGACACAATAACCCCGCCAAGCAAAGACGGTCAACAAACAACGAATGAAAAACATCTGCAGTGTGACGCCATGCTACTGGATCCGCAACACTCATACAACAGACAAAATGTGTCTACTAGCTTCTAAATAAAGTGTTGTGCACGTTCGAATGATGGTTGCCCGTGCAGCTGATGAGTGCTAAATATTTTAAAATACCACCACACATACACTCAAACATGTATACACATAAATATAGAAGTGCACAAATAAAAGCATAAATGTATATGCAAGTATGCAAATATAATATAAAAAATGTGTATGCAATCATATACCCACATGGGCCCAGTCAAGGGTGTTATGGGTACACACGTGACGTCTGAGGATGTTACGCGGGTCAAATGATAAATCCAAGTTCGAGTAAATAGGAGTCGACACTGCTCGAACTATCAAGCAAATATACGATCACGATGTCGACCGAGATATTGTTTTAATACGTTCATATTAGGCCTTCAAGTTCTATAACCAGGAAAATTCACTAATAAAAGTATGCAGCCGACAACGAATCTGATCCTCTGTTGGCAATTAACAGAGTCGATAGGTTTCACTCGATAAAATACAACTGTCCATAAACACCTCAATGATGGTTGTGTTGACAGAAATCACAATCAAATGGGTCCCCAAACATTCAAAATGCTTCCTGAATGTCCATGGAAATTCAAAATTCTAAAAATTATCCAAAATCTAAAATATTTAAAATTGAAATAAACACCAAAACGCTTAAAGCAAAATCCATTAACCCTCCACAACAATTTGTCAAGGCGGATAAATCTGAAAACTACTTCGGCTCACAAAGAGCTAATGTCTGGTCAAAAATATCACTAGAATTCATTCTCAAATAGTATCTTGCTAGCAAGGATGTGGTCCGTGTCCTCTAATCGACGGTCATGCCGCCAAATGGCACCATACGTAAACGGGATTATGACCGGAGCCCTCTGAACTGGGTGATTTGCCTCCAAATCGCACCAATAAATTACAGTCATGGCCAAAGTCGTTATACTCCCCAATAGCACTAAATTCTTAAAATATAAAATCAATAGGATATGCTCAATAGGGCACAAAGTTCTTTGTTAGCTAAGGTAGACTCAATTTTATCCCCTTAGACAAATATTCACCCCAGGTCTTCAAGGTACCTTGGACAAAGCAAACCATAACTACTGACAAGGATCCTTCTATCAGGTTGGGTTGACTACCTCCTCTGACTAAGTAAACAAGGGACAATAACGACCCGAGATGATGAAAAGGGATGACAGAATCATGGGATCTTGATCGAGTTCATCATCCATTCCCCCACCATCCGCTTTAAGTGCAAGATGGTGAAATTTCTAATTTTAAATGTTAAATTTTCAATTACTAATCCCATGGTGCTACTATACACCAAATACCACGTATATTTATGCATTTGTTTGACAACTAGCCTTAATCAAAAGTTCTCTCTCGCTATCGGGAGGGGTAATTAACTATAGGTTAGGTCGACTACCTCCTCTGACTAAGTAAACAAGGGACCATAATGACCCGAGATGATGACCCGGGATGACAGAATCATGGGATCTTGATCAGGTTCATCATCCATTCCCCCACCATCCGCTTTAAGTGCAAGATGGTGAAATTTCTAATTTTAAATGTTAAATTTTCAATTACTAAACACATGCTGCTACTATACACCAAATACCACGTATATTTATATATATGTTTGACAACTAGCCTTAATCGAAAGTTCTCTCGCTATCGGGATGGGTAATTAACTATAGGGCTTGCGCCTATAGGAAACTGAACTCATATTATAAAGTCCTCGTAAAATGAGGGCAAAATCTCTTAGCAATACCTATTCAAAACCCAATCTGCCTTTTGAAAATATGCACCGGAACTTGATTCGTTAAAACTCCCCTGATAGAGGGGAGGCTAGGGCACGAATTTTCGAAGCCCACATACATGAAGTTTGAAATCCTGGATAAAAAATACTAGATTTCAATTATTAAGCACCAATCATGCTACGGAGCTCAAAAGGATGTTAATGGGTTTGTTAACGATCTATAATCGATACCAATTCTACAAATAAAACTCATTTTGCAAATTCAAGCTCAAAAAAATTTGGTCGAGCTTGAGTATTTAATTCGGTCGAGCTTGAGTATTTAATTCAATCTAATGCTTACAAAAAAGTAGGTGAGTATAATTCAATGTTTAGGTTTTAGGGTCACAGCCATCCATAATACCCATGAGTCAAGCTTGAGTTAGCAGTGACTCGAGATCAACTGACTCAATTACACCACCAATGCCTACCAATTTGTGGAACGAGTTTAGCATATTAGTTATAATTAGAAACAACAGGAATTGACAATAAGAAAAGAAATCCTTTTCCAAAGGTATTTCAACATGCTTACCAGCAAATGATGTTTCATACTGTATGCCAATTCTAGCATCTTCAAGACAACAAATAATCTGTCAAAACCAACAATGTTCTATTTAAATAAAAAATTCATAATATAAGAACACGTCATAACAAAGATTGAATGATTGATCTTTAACCTAAACCTTCACTATAAAATGGAAAAATAAGAATGAGTTTCTTAGAGTTAAAAAAACTACATTCAGAAAAATCAATCTTTTCAAGGCTTGCTTGATTCTATAAATGTGCCACTTAAAGAGGTCCTTCGGAAAATTTTAAAATGCTTCAGACAAGGCAAAGGATTTGCTGAAGCAAAAATATATTGACATTAGATCCTTCTGGATCTTTTGATAAAAAATCATAAACAAGCCATCTAAGATTATTGAAATTACAAAATATTGTGACTCACAAATAATTCTGTAATCAATCTATAGATGATAAAAAAAAATCAATCTGTAGAGGATCTAATGCGAAAATCAAACGTAAAAATACATAGAATTAGAATGAATTCAAAAGTAAAGAAATGATACAGGGCCAAAAAAATGCAAACTTTCAAATTCATTAGCATACAGAGTTAAAGAATGAATCTAATTAATCAGAATCTCTAAGCACAAGTTTCTAAGTACAAAATGTGGGTTAAAATTTGTTTAGAGGCATCAATCATAAATCATAATAGTATAAAACTTTCTAAACTTAGATACGAAAAAAATCCTAAGAAAATTATGGTCATTTTGACATTTTTACTAGATTTGAATTCTAATGAAAATAAGAAAATCGTTGACACCAAAATGTGGGATGTAAGTACAAGTGACTGAACATCTGTGATGGTAGGAGAACATTGAAGTGGCACAATCACACTTAACTAAAAAAGCACACACACCTAAGTTGAGAAAATGGACCAAATATAACAAAATAGTTCTTGCAATGTGCAAGAGTAGCAAAGATGAAAGAAGGATAACCCTAGTTTGCAAGCATTCTAAAGTAAACAGCTCACGTAAAGCTCCAAAAGAGTTCGAATAAAATGCCATCCACATGAAAGAAAAGTTCTTTCCCTAGCTTAAGCCTAAACACAAAAGGACATTTAGGTATGTTCCCCTAAAAATTAGTTGACATTCCTGCAACACATAAAATCCTAATTGTACCTACAAACTACCCACCAAAAATGATTAAGATAATAATAAATAATAATTTTAATTAATCACATAAAGTTTAACTAAGAAATTAATTCTAGAAAAAATGGACTAATAAGTCAATTAATTACAATTTATTAATAGCAAAATACATTATTCTAATAACTTATGAATAAATTAAGTAAAAAACTATCATCACCCTAATTAGCGTTATCTGAAGCATTTGAATTCAACTTTATGCATCTTTACTTTTCATTTATACCTATTGAGTGTTGCCTTAGGCGTCAAACAATTCTTCTCAATTCATCATCATCATTACCCCACATCCTTAATCATCATCATTACCCCACATCCTTAAAATCCTAATTGTACCTACAAACTACCCACCAAAAATGATTAAGATAATAATAAATAATAATTTTAATTAATCACATAAAGTTTAACTAAGAAATTATTTCTAGAAAAAAATGGACTAATAAGTCAATTAATTACAATTTATTAATAGAAAAATACATTATTCTAATAACTTATGAATAAATTAAGTAAAAAACTATCATCACCCTAATTAGCGTTATCTGAAGCATTTGAATTCGACTTTATGCATCTTTACTTTTCATTTATACCTATTGAGTGTTGCCTTAGGCGTCAAACAATTCTTCTCAATTCATCATCATCATTACCCCACATCCTTAATCTTTGACATTCATTTTACCTAGTTGTCAAATGGTGCATTTCCTCTGCTTTGTTGTATAGCTCCAAATCATCTAAATCTATTTTTAATAACCTTATGCTCCATAAATATCATTCCAACCATTCCTTCAATATAATTATGTCCTAATTTATCATGACTGTTATAACACAATCCATTTTAACATTCTCATTTCAACCACACCCAACTTAGCTATCAATGACCTTTTTATTGTAATTAAAAGTAATTATCTAGTTCACATTTTAAAAGCATTATTTAATGATTAGAATATTAAATTATCTCATTAAATATGCTAATTAGGTACTAATAAATAATTCAATATTAATTCAATCTCAATTTCATGAAATTTACAACCACCCAAACAAATAGAGGAAGCACTAAGAGATCAAACAAAAATCAATGCACAAATGAGGCAAACAAAAAGATCATCCAAGCTTTCCTTGACAAGTCTGATACCCCACCACAGGCCTAAAAGGACGACTGTGCTACAAAAACGAAGCAAGCAAAAAGTACCTGCAAGAAGAAGGCAAAAAAATGATCATCCTAGCTTTCTTTGGGACGTCTAATACTCACCACTGCCCTAACTGAACCATGCTAGATATCAAGCATTGATGATTTTGCTCAAGTAGACCACAAGATAATGCAAATTATTAACTTGAGATAAATGCAATACATATGAATGCCAGTGCTACAAAATTGCAACCAATAAACATATCCAAAAAACGACTAAATCCACAAGTCATAACTTCACAATTATCCTCTTACCTATGTAAACTACATGAGGTTCTCATTATAAGCCTACCAAAACAATTTTGTAAACGCAGAAGTTATAGCTTAGTTATATCTTTCATAGCAACTCCTTAACAAGCTTTTTTAAGCAAACAATCATCCATACCATTCCTTATGCACATTCAAATCATCTACATAATCACACATTATATTCAGCTTTCAACGGTCCATCTTGTACAAATACAAACGTTTGATGAGCAACTTCTTCACACTAAACCCCTCAATATAAAAGAAAAACATAATTTTAGTTCCAAGACTTATCTTAGTCTCTTCATGAAGCCCAACAGCGTACCATGCAGCAACTATAAGGCAAACATACAGAACACAATTTGCATTGTTAAGGTTTACTGAGAGTTGCCTTCATAAAATATGAATGGTCATTATCTTACCACCTTATCTTGTAGTGCAACTAGATCTTTGAAGAACGTACTATTCGTTTCAACAAATGAAGTTACAATCAACCAAATCCAGGCCTTCCAGATTTTCATAAAGACATTAAAAATGAAAGAATCAGTGTCGGATTTGTAAAGCACTAGCAACATAATGCGTTTACCTCTTCAGTTGCCTAACAACTGCTCCACCATCTCACTTGTCCCTCCCCATCACTTTCTCAGTTCTCTACGTAACTCCACATGGATATCTTATTAGTGGAGACATGGAGACTGAACTGAGAGCATCAACACCCCCCGCCATCTCTCCCTACCCATCACTCCTGCTGCTCTCCACGCAACTCTCCATGGAGGTCTCATTAGTGGACACATCACTATTGAATCGAAGGGTCATCAATGCCCCTCATGTAGGCTCTCTTGATCAAGCAAGTATGTGATGATTTCCACCTACTTCACCCCAGAGCAGCGCCTGAGTCTAACTTCTTCTTCTTCTTAAGCTTCTAATTAAGAGATCTTGTGTTCAAAAATTTTGTATATAATGTGTGTAAGTTTAAGATTAAATTTGCTCAAAGTCTCAAACAAAATCTTAACAAACAAAAGGTACAAATCTTAAGAATAAGTTGAAAATAATATTCAATGTAACCTACACATTTGTTTCAATCAACTTAACATTATGATTACAACAACATAACTTTAAATCAAAATCAATGGGAGTTCTAGCCCATGTGATGATGAGATATGGACCATATGGTCACATATCTTGGTTGGAGAAGATGATGAGCAATGCCTTGTTGTGGCCAACCAACTAATTAGTTACACTCAAAACCACTATAAACTAGGTATGTGAATGCATTTTCACGCAAAAACAATAAACATTCCACAACGAGCTCATTTGACACATGGCACCACTAACCACTCTATGCGCATGATCAAGCTCCAACTTCTGACTTCAACATTCTAATCTTGTACTTTGACCCATGAAAAGTAAAAAACTTGACGCCACTAGGTGCTCCAAAATAGTGTTGCATCAATATGTGAGCACAACCAACACCCCCATCAAACTCATCATATACTTCAGTTTTCAATATTCTAAAAGTACCCTTCAATTTTCTTCCAAATTATAAACATAACCCTTAGAATAATTTAAAGAGAAAAAGATCAAAATGGTTCATGGACAACTTGTGTAAAGCCATTTTAGTTCCAGTTATCTAATATGTTAAATTTCATTCTTTACTCCTCAAATATGATACAAAATAATCCGATCCCTCTGTCAGATTATTTTAGATTAGATTTAAGCAATCAAAAGACTAATTTAGATTAGATGTGAGAAGTGCCGGACCTAAATTGGACACAATTGATAGTCTCAAACTAAACGCTCCCCCATAAATAGTCCAATGGTCATTTCAACCTTTTTCACATAATTTAACATTTATAAATTGAACATTAAACAATTTTTATAAAATTTATGAATTTATGAAAAGGATTTCAAGAAATTCTTAACGCACCTTTGTAAAAACATGATAACTCCAAAAATAAACAAAATAATATCCTTACAAAACCCATACATGGGTAAAAATAAAAATTCCTCACTTTCTCATTTTTTTAATCTAACTAAATTACGAATGAAAAATCTTAAAATAAGATTCATAAAAAATGGTAAAAAAAGAAATAAGAATTTTCTAAAAAGTCTAAAGGGCCCTTCTCATCCCGATAAAATGATTCACCCAATTTAGTATACTACAACATCATCTTTCATTCCAATTGAACAAGAGACATTAATAAACACCAATTTGACCTAGTTGATCACGATTGATAGTTCATGGCAAGATATTACCTAATATTTAGGTCAAATTGATCTAACAAGCATTTCAAGACCATTTACCACAATTTGATTGATACATAAACTCCAATTGGCATGAATGCACCCACTAATTTGCATGCCAAAATGTCCATAAAAACACAGGATTGTGGCAACCATGCTAAGGCATTAATATGATTCAAATGATTAAAATAAAGCATTGGACTAATACATAACTGAAATAAGCACAATCTTCATTAAAATGCGATCCACAGTATACTTAATTCAGTATTTTTGTAAACTTTTCCACTAGCTCACCTCCGACTTTTAAAAGCCTGCTAAGAATCACTGATATCCAAATGGTGAAAATAATGTGTTGTTGTAGTGAAACCCAATTAATGATGAATTGCATGCTAAATCTCTACACTTTAGCAAGTGTGTAAAGATGCTCTGTGCACTCCAAAACACCACCACTATTGAGCTTCTATGCTCAAGTTCTACTAATAAGCCACCTTAAGCATCCGATCCATCCCGATATAGCACAAAGATATATACACCATAGGAAACATGCATATCAACTGTTCCATCATCTATGAATCCATCAAATTACGCTAAGGGCTCTCTTCCCAGAAAAGATCAAGGTCTGCCCTTTCAGGCTAAGTCGATGCAAATCAACCGGCCAAGCTATTAAGCATCCAAACTAGTGTGAACTATATTGTAGAACGCTATGAGTTATAACTGATCAAGCTAGGCGTATGGATCACAATTAGCTGAACTCTTGTACCCTGGCCTGGGCCACCCAATCCAATTAAATTAGTCTTACCTATGTGAATAAAAATTTTCTATGAAATTCATTGCCTTACATAATTTTAACTACAATTCATTGGGGCCACCACATATGGGGATACCGCTAACTAATTACAAAGCACCCAAAAGTCATAACAAAAACTCTCATACTTATCGGATCATACAACAAATAATGAATTCTTGAATGATTAAACCATAGAATCCAAATAGAACTTCCCCCAGTACCACTATCCACCCAAATTTTCCTCCAGCGCAAAGAAACATGTTGAAATAGGACTTATATGACGTCATATGCATAATGATAATAAAGCCATACAATTTCCAAAATTGTGAATTCCTTACTACCTACCATGTAAGGGTGATCAACCATAAGGTTGCATTCATTAGAAGCCTCAATCCTCTGAAAAATTATAACACTAGCAATGATGAAATTAGTTGGATGTTAATATTTCCAATTTATCTCCTAAAATATACAAGTTTCCTCGCATGAATGCTCACAATTTTTTTAGGAGCCCACAAGTAGGTCAATATTTGCTAATTTTTGCAATTACTTTCAATATTTTTTTCTACTCATTAAATAATAAAGTAAAACGTTTTTTCGAGGATTAGATGGGGGCATTTAAAGAATATTATTTTTGCAATTACTTTCAATATTTTTTTCTACTCATTAAATGCATCAAACTTCAGCGCATATAAAAGTAGCAATCTAACTTTGGTCATATTCAACAGATACGTATATTTACAATCACCTTCTAAGCAATTGCAAATGCCACTTGACAGGAAAATGTCAATGATGGTGGTGGTGAACTCATTATGATAAATCAAAAAAGAATAATCTTTGTTCATAAACGTTACAAATTGCTTTTAAAATGAATCCATACATTAATGTAAAAAGAGCTAGCATCTCAAGAAATCATTGAACAACAATAAAAAAATATTTGATAGCTTGAGGTTTACTAACCTTGTTTCCAATCCTATATGTGATCTTTGCATCTAGAAGAGGATCTGTTGGCATGCTTGTTTCATTAGCTTCATGCAAAGACGCCTTTCTGTCAGCTTCCATATGAACCTGGAAGAATATAAAGCAAACTCGTTATTTACTATCAATTAAAAGAAAACTTAAGCCCAATAAGCATGTATCATTTATACAAATTTGAGAGGAAAATTAAGCAAGTTCATAAAATTTATACGACTGTCTAACAATGTACAATATTATGAAAACGTTATAGAGAGTCAGAGCATGATAGGCCAAAATTTAGAAAACCTAGTAAAGTTGGTAAATGCAGCACCTTCTCACGGATTGTGGCTAGTAGTCCATCATTCCATTGCTCATCTTCTAAAGATATTTCTAAAGAACATGAATTATAAGAAGTCAGTAACCAACAATTTGTATAAAATCTTTATGAAACATATTTATACAATATCACCATTAGTGTATTGTCAATCATAATTCTTCAAAATACCATGGAGGTGTCATTAAATAAATTAGATACAACAAGATACAAATTTAAGACCATCATTCAAAATGTGAGCGAAAAAAAGAGTAGGCCTAATATGCCAAATATTATTGTAACCAAAAGGCAGTTGCAAAAAAAAATGAAGGACCTGTTTGATCGAGGCTTAAATAAGCAAAAGTTAAGATAAGCTAAGGAAATGGTTCAATTTTTATTTTCAAGGAGTTCAACCTTTGCTAATTAATATGTATCGTATTATCTTTTTTTAATATTTACAACAACAATAACAAGAGTGTGAAAATTATAGAGGAATTTAGTTGATTTGTCATATATTAAAAATATGGGAGAGAGTAATTGAGCATAGGTTGTGACATGATACTAGTGTTTCTCAAAATCAATTTGGATTCATGTCGGGTAGGTCTATTGTGGAAGCTATATATTTGTTGAGAGGTTTAATGGAGAAGTATAGAGAGAGAAAGGATGATCTTCATATGATATTTATTAATTTATAGAGTATGTGATAAGTGCCAAGAGAAGTGCTCTGGAGAGTTCTACAAATGAAAGGAGTTAATAATGCTTATATTCAAGTCATTAATGATATGTATTTAGGAGCTGTTACTTGTGCTCAAATATAAGGAAGTTTGACCAAATATTTTCTATTTCAGTTGGATTATATCAAGAATCAACGTTAAGCCTGTATCTTTTTTCTTTAGTCATGGATGTTCTTACTAGGAATTATTGGCATATACACAAGTATTTTGATAATTTGTCCAAAAGATAGAATAACTTGCGCTACATGTGCATATAAACTACCAGCTTAGATAACATGGTTAATAATAATTGAGCATGCAACGATTCAAATCAAATAGATTGGGCAAAGTGTGACATTTTTTAATGCATCATTCTTGTATGATTTCAGTAAAAATTTAGCTAAAATACTTCCTCTAACCATATGCTTTATTTTTAACATAACTAACGACATCTAGTCCACTTAGACCTGTGATATATGCACACGCACATGTGAAGCTCTAAAAGTAGGAAATGACATGTTCAAATGTCTTTCTAGCATGGCGACGAGAAAAATACTTGCATGCCTACAAAAAACATAACCACATCAGGCCATTTGGTACTACAAAATTCTTTGATATACATATCTAACATATAACTTTAGCAATTACCATCTTACAACTAATTTCTTCAAATACCACTAAAATGCCACCATCATTGATCCTCTGCTACTTCCATAATGTTATCGTTGACCACGTCTCACTGCCACTCGACTTCACATCCTCATTGTCTTCTTACGTCCCACTGTCACCATGACCTCCGCCTTCTTCTAACATAGCCTCCTGCGCTCGTCGCTTAGAAGAGATGGGGCATAATAAGATGCAAGTAGTTGTGGGCTCAAGGGTTTGACAAATTGCATACAAAGTAAAGTGAAAGTGCAAGAGTAGGCATAGATGGGTGGAAGGCAGTGATGTCAACAACGTCAACATGCAGCTATGTTGGGAACCAATCTAAGATGCAGCGTAACTAGAGCAGGAGAGACTGCAATGGCACTGACATGTGGATAAAGGGCACTAGCATTGTGTGAATACAGGGCGGGGGAGAGCAAGTGGAGATTGGCTAGCAGGGTTAGCAGGAGGGGCGAACAAAAGACTAGTGCAATAAGTGATTGGCAATTTATTTCCATCGTCTCAATTGTGTTTTTGTTGTGTCTCAATCGTGTGCTAATAGTGGGAGAAAATGATAAGAAGGTGGAGTTGTTGAGCAATTAAGATAAGGGAAGAAGGGAATGAATGTGTTAGCCTAAGTTTAACAAAAATTATTTTATCATGGAAAAGGATATGATGGAGCTGGCATCAGGAATTAAACTTCGTAAACTCTACTTCATATGGGTGATTGGGAATGACGCATGTAAGGAGAGGAAACAATTTGGGAATACAAAATGGTAATGGTATTTCAATAGTGGTTAAAGGAACTAGGTCGTGAAACAATATATAATTAAATTTGTGTTAGATATGTAAAATAAATTGATGGTAAAAAGGTAAAACATAAAGAAAAAATAAATCAAATGATAAACCTCCACCACACAAATATGAGTGCTAACTCAATGAACACGGTCACATGGTGAACAAAAAGGGCAAAAAACATCATACTAACTCACTTTCATATTCTTATGTAAAATTTTAACCATCTGCTGAAGTGTAAAACATTCCAACCATTACATATTATAATTGAGAAAAGGATCAAAATGGTCCCTCAACTCTTCAGGAAGGACCAAAATGATCCCCAACTATCTTGAGGGACCATTTTGGGGATCATTTTGGCCCCTCAACTTTCTAAATTAAACTTTTTAAAATGGGATCATTTTGGTCCCGACATCCAAAATAATGGATGTGGGACTTTGGTGTATGCTTTTTTCTGATGATACTCTTCTTGTTGATAATACTAGAGAGGGAGTTGAAGGTAAACTTAAATTATGAAGGTCAACCTTGGAGTCTAAAGGTTTTCATTTGAGTAGACCTAAAACCGAATATAATGAGTATAATTTTAGTAGTAATTGATCTAGTGTGGGGATTGAGACTTTGAGTGATGAAGTCATTAATAAGAGTACACGTTTTAGATATCTTGGATCTATTGTCCAAAGTGATGGTGAAATAGATGGGGATATTATTAGTAGAATTCAAGTTGGATAGGTTGAAGTGGAGGAATGCTTCAAGCTTGTTGTGTGATAAAAAAGTCCCCATCAAACTTAAGGTAAAATTCTATAAGATGGTGGTGAGACCAGCAATGCTTTATGGTGCAGAATGTTGGCCATTGAAAGAGAAGCATAATATTAAAGTGTTGCAGAGATGAGGATGATCAAGTGGATGATTGATTTTACTCTTAGAGATAGAATACAAAATGAACATATATGTGAAAATGTTAGAGTAGCTCCTGTAGAAGATAAAATTAGAAAGAGTCGCCTTAGATGGTTTGGTTACATAAAATGACATCCTTCCGATGACTCGGTTAGGAAAGCAGATGTATTGGATTTGGCTTATGTTAAGAAAGATAGAGGTAGACCTAAAAAAACTTAGTTAGAAAATATTAGAAATGATCTTTCTTTATTATTTAAATGAGAATTTGACTCTTAACATGACACAATAGATAAAAAAGATTCATGTAGCCGACCCCACATAGTGGGATAGTGGGATAAAGGCTTGATGTTATTTTTGTTGTTGTATTCATACTCTTAGCCACTCAAAAATAAAATAGTATGGAATCCTCACCGAAGTTTTTTATTTCTTCCCTTTCCATTTAGTTTATGCAAACATGCATTATTTTCTTCTTCAAATTATTGTATATACTAATTGATGGGGACATCGAAGCTTGGAAAGTCTATCAGAGGTGCGGCCGCCGATTTACGACCACGATCGCGCCAATATATTTTTAAGTCGTCATATGTATTTGTTTTTATTTATTTATGTTTGTATTTGCGTTTAGTTATTTTCCCCTTTTACCCTTTACTTAAGGGTGGTCATGTGTAAGCCCAAAGGGCACCATCGTCTTTTGATTTTGAGTCAATTGAATGAGGCTATATATAGCCCTTATGTTCTATTTTCATGGTTAATGAATGAATAATAAAATTTCCTACATTGTGAGTTCTTGCGAGAGCTTGAGAGCGTTTGGGAGAGGGAGAGAGAACCCTTGAAGAGGGAATTGTATCACCCGTCAACCTTAGAAGAGTCCGGGCTCGCGGCTAGTTAGTCGTATCTCATCTTCCTCCTTTTCTCCACCCTAACCCGCCAGCCCAAATCCCCACCCCACCCGTTGGCCTTTTCCCCAACCAAAAGTCGTCGATTACCTCTTTCCAAAGGGATTGGGGTTCCCCTCTATTAATGCTTGCAATTACCTCTTTCCTAATTAGGTTTTAATATTTTAGGTAATTCAATTACTTTAAAAAATTACCTAAAATACCAATCCTATTTTAGGAAAGTTACCAAATTTCAGCCCTTTGAATATTCCCATTAATTGGAAATTAATTAGGGTCTTCCTAATTTAATAATCCAATTAAAGAAGGCTAGATTTTATTTACCCAACCCCCTCTCTCTCTTTCCACATGCCGCCGGCCCCCTCCTTGGGTCCCCACCTCCTAATTACTTTCCAACTTCAACCTATTCCTCTTTGGGAAGAATTCAAATCCACTTTCCTTCCCTCTTAGCCGCCACCAACCTTTTCTAAATACACCCAAATCCTTTCCAAACTAAAAGGATTAATTGGGTAAGCAATTGCTTGAGTTTCCTCCACCTCTTTTCTTCTAAAATATGAACCTAAGTCTTGCTCCACACCCATACCCTTGGCCGGCCACATCTCTCCCTCTTTCCCTCTCAAACTCAAGATAAACTCATCCCTCTCAATAGGAGTCTTCAAGAGAAGCAACAACAATCGTCGTCAACACCTTAACCCTTCAAACCAATGAATGGCCGGTCCTGATCTTGATTTCGGATTCACTTATGATGAGCAAGGAAACGTCGACATCCTCCGGTCAACCTTCTTCGACGTCAACCCGGACGTCGACAATTCCATCGAAGAATATTTGGATCGCATCATCTTCACACTTTCCGAAGCCGTCGAAGAACAACTTGCCAACGTCTAGTGGCAGATTGTTTCCGGTCATCAACAAGGGTGAACTTCTTCACCTATTCATTTATCTTCCTATTCCACTAATCTTGTAGGTGGTGATCAAATCGCAAGGAGTCGTGCCTCGCCCTTTGCCTCTATTTAGTGATCGTAGGGATTGAGTTTTACTTTCTATATTTCTAATCTCATTGTTAGCATAGAGATTTTTGTTGAATGACTAATTAATTCGTATGTTGTTGAAATTCTAAATTGCTTTGATGATTCAAGT